TTTCATGTTACACCAATATGTTGAAATCTTTTTTCATGGTAGTTACTGTTTACTCCACAAAGGGAACATTAGCTAATCAAGAAGCTCTGCGCAATCTTCTGGGTAAATATTTTTCAAAGGTTTTGTTAATTTTTGAATAATTCTGAATCTTATTACTTTCATTTACATCATCCTATTACTATGCTGCTATGCCACAACAGCATAGGACTTTAGGAATAGAAAGTTAAGTTTAAGTTTGAAATGTGAAATATGATAATAAATCAACCAAAATATGAAATTCTTATGCAGGAGATTAAATTAATAAAATCGCTATTGTTCAGTTCATGTGATGCATTCCTTAGAACTAAGTATTTAGGATTACTCAATTTGATTACCAGTTCCTCACTCAATAGTCATTAATATAAGGCTTCAGAGTTTCTTGTCCACTACTGTGCTTCATGAGTGTGTTTGTGGGCAGTGTGGAATTGAACATGAATATTTTGCTCTTAAATCAAAATAGTATTTAATGACTCTGAGACTGATCAGGATTAACTGATCACAATAGTAGTCAAGTAATGCTCCTTATAGGCATGTTTGCAAATTCTAGGAAAGTAGAAGTTTTCAAATCTCATTCATTTGGCTGTTTGACCATTGTAAATATCTCTGTATTTTCTGTAGGAGCAATGATTCAGTAGTTAGTAATTCAGTGTTTTCACTGAATTTTATAAAACACAGCTAAAATGAATAATAAGAATAAATTTTATTTCTAATATTTATACATGAAATACACTAGTTATTATTTCTCTTTTAAAAGTGAAGAATTTTTTTCCAGGAAAGCATTATCCATTTCCCTCAACCTATTTGTAGTGAACATATAAGTTACCAGCAGTAACTTCACCACAAAAATTCATATTAAAACAGAACTGGTGGAGGTGGAGATGTGGCTCAAGCAGTAACGCGCTCGCCTGGCATGCGCGGGGCACTGGGTTTGATCCTCAGCACCACATAAAAATAAAGATGTTGTGTCCACTGAAAAATAAATATTAAAAAATTCTCTCTCTCTCTCTCTCTCTCTCTCTCTCTCTCTCTCTCTCTCCCCCTCTCCCCTCTCCTCTCCTCTCCTCTCTCTCTCTCTCTCTCTCTCTCTCTCTCTCAAAAATGATTTCAAATACAAAAACTTCTGTGTTCATTTTTTTTTCAATTTGGAATTCTTTGTATATTCAGTGATTCAACTATTCAGTGACTTTTTTTAACCAAATAATTGCTATGAGTGACAGCACTATATCTTTTATAATATTATGTATGCTTCAGTAAAAATTCTTATACCAAGATTTTATTAAAACTTGGCAATTCTAAAAATGCCATACCTTGAAATCAAGTTTTGTTTAGTTCAATAATGCAACAACCCAGCATTAACTGCATAATTTAGATCTCTTCATGTTCCATATCATATTTTGAATCTCAATTTTAAAGCCAGAAGTTGACAGATGACTAATGATAGCACAAGAACCTGTTTCAAGATATTGCTATTGGCATCATTGTCAGGCATATTGACTTTTGAATCTTTTTGTGGAATTCACAACCTTTTTTTAAAGGGCTTTTTTCCCCCCGTGGGTGAGTATTGGTCATTGAAAAACAAATTGCATTTACCAAACCAAACAAAACCCAAAAATACTTGGCCAAAATATAAGAATAATTAAAAGAGATTAAGAATTTGTGTGTATAATCCCTACAAACCTAGGCAAGTATAAACATAAATAACTTTATTCAGCAGGCAAAACCTCAGAATAGCTAAAGTATTTTAATACATTTTATGAAAGTGTTCGTCATAAGCCAAAATGATTCTGACAAAAGAAAGTAATACCTAACGTGTGTTGATTGTTAGGCATAAAATGAATCTTGTAGACATCATCTCCAGTACAACAGCCTTTTGAGCTTTAGGTATTATTATTTTTCCACATTACATGTGTAAAAGCTACAATTTAGAGTCAAGTATCCCATAAGTAACCTTGCAGTTCTCTTTGAGCCTCAACTCTCCACCCTCCCCATCATTTTTTTTTTTTTAAGAAATAGCAACTGGCCCTTTACCTCTTTCTACCTGCTGGATGCTTTCTGAATCACATTATCCAGTGCTTAATTTAAATAATCCTCATTAAAGTCCAGAGCCTAGGGAAATCACCCTGGTTTTTTGTTCCTAGCAACAGCCCTAACAACAGCTGCTTAAACATATGCCACTAAAAAGATGCTATAGAGGAAGTACATGAAAGTTATTATTAAATATCTTAAATATTAAGATTTCAGACACCATAGTTACCATGTTTGCTTACTTACCTTTAGTGGTGCAAAATAGAAAAATGAATTTAGTTATTTAGAATAACAGATACACTAGATGAAACTAGCAACACATGTGATACCTAGGTATTTTCCTGCTGTTAAACCAAAAAAACATGAAAATAAAATACCTTTTTTATGATTGTGAGTCTTAAAATGTTACATTTGTGTCAAAATTAAGTGTGCTTATTTTATAATGTAATATGGCCTATTTAAATATTAAGAAAATTGAAAACTCTCTATGAATTTTTGTTGGCATTCTATATTTTTTTGCTATTAATTTTTTTAAATCAACTCCATAGTTTTGCCTTTTCCAGAATGTTGTAAAATTGAGGTCATAGCTTCATATGGGATTCTTTTATTTACTAATATGCATTTAAGTTTTCTTCATGACTTTTCATGGCTTGATAGCTCATTTCTTTTTAGTGCTGAGTAGTATTCCATTATATGTATGTACCATAGTTTATACACTCACCTACATAAGCACATCTTTCTTGCTTCCAAGTTTTGGTAATGATAAATAAAGCTACTATGAACATACATGTGCAGATTTTTTGTAGTTTTCAACTAATTTGGGTAAGTACCAAAAAGTATGAATGAATGCTGGATCATATGATAAAACTATGTTTGATTTTGTAAGAAACTGCCAATTGTCTTCCAAAGTAACTGTATCTTTTTACATTCCTATAAATCCTTGCTAGAATTTGCTATTGCCAGTGTTTTGAATATACCATTCTAACAGTTATGTAATATTATCTCATTGTTTTAATTTGCAATCTCCTAATGACATAGGATGTTGAGTGTCTTCTTGTCATTTGTAGTCTTCTTTGGTGAGGTGTCTATTGCGATGTTTTTTCCTAAACAGGAAAAAGAACAAAAAATTTACTAGACTCCTACTGAGATCTTTTCCCTATTTTTAAGTGGTTTATTTCTTATTGGGGGGTTTAAAGCATTCTTTGTATATTTTGGATTATTGCCCTTTATTATATATATGTTTTTGCAAAGATTTTTCTCCCAGTCTGTGGTTTGTCCTTCCATTTTCTTAATAGTATGTGGTTTTTAAGCATTAAATTTTTAAAGCTGAACTCATAATTTAAGAACTGATACCGTTATAGTGGTATGCATGGTAGGTAACGAAAGGTTAGTTTTTGTGCCTTCTGTGTTTTAAAATCACTAATATATTCTTTTTTTCTCAACCTCCTACTTCAACATGCACACATATATGCCACCATTTTGTAGCTTAAGCTGCTAGAATTTCAAGCAGTTCAATGTAAGAAGGAGTAGTTAAAATTAATAATTTTTCTTGTTTGGATCAACAAGTAACCTAATGTGATAGTCATTGTCCAGATAATAGCCCGTAATTTAGTAAATATACATGTGGATTATTCCTTTTTAAATATTAAGAAAATAATATCTTTGACATTCTTTTAAGGTCTACTCAATTTTCAAGTTATTCCTAAGAATTTTCAGAGTTTCTAGCCAGCAGTGTTGTAGTTTTTGTTTGCTTGTTTGTTCATTTGTTTGTTGTTTGTTCTTGTTTCATCTTTCTGAAAGTTTTTTTTCTTTTTTCTTAACAAAACTATAAGTTCAAGTAATGCTATGAATGGATTTGACAATGTTAATGATTTTATGTAAAAATCAGTATTTTTTTTCCAAATTTTTGAAACACAAACAGGTATTAGTAGTCAACTTGGGTTAATAAAGCAAGAATATTTTGTTTGAAAGAGTGATCATGAAAGGAATTACCTGTATTAAAAGCTATTCCTTATTTAGGTTTTTTTTTTAATAAAGTTATTACTCAGGAAAAACTGCTTATTTTAAAGACAAGATCAAATAAGAAATCTAGGCCACTTGTTTTCTAAGTATCTGTATATTACAGTCCAATATCTGTAACTGAAAAATTTAGAGCTGCTCTGGTGGCAAGTCAAATGGAGGTGAGGGAGACTAGAGCACACCTTCTTATTTTGCTTTTCCCCAGGTACCTCACGGGAATCCATGGAGCCATGTGGAGAAGTATTGGAAAAATAGTCTAAATTATGATTTTTATTTTAAAGCAACAACAAAATAAAATAGTCCACTGTTACTAAGCAATTTATCATGGAGTTCTAGGTGTCTAATTTATAAGGTTTCCAAATTAGACTTCAGGGCCTATGTTACATTTTATTACAGTCTACAACATAAGTGTAGACTGGCAAGAATTAAACGAAAAGCCTGTTTCACAGCTGTTATGCATCTGGGAGTTTGGTTAAAAGGGGCTAGTTTAGCTTAGCCCGAATTGTGATAAAAAGCAGGGTCTGGAGGCCTTTTAACTAAAGTCCTGTGCTCTGATCAGAGCTGTATTTAATACTGGTCCATAAGTCCACATAATTATAATTTGTAAGAGTCTTTAGAACATCAGTAACTTTTAAATCTTACCATATGAAAAATGATTTTGTCACCTGTGGACTTAAAAGAGTTAGCAAGTTGGGAAAAAGGTGATGATCACACGAAATATTTCTGAAACTTTCTCCATCCAACTTTTGTACTTTAAATGTTCAACTGTTCTTTGTAATATACTACTGGTTTTACTAGTCTTTAATGAGGAACTTTAATTCTGATAAGTGAATGCTTCATGTTAAATTTGTTGTACTACTGGGAAAGATGTTTTACTTTTTTAATGTTACCATTATTACATTCTGGCTTTTTCTCAGTCTTGCAGATGGGTCAAGGGCTGTGGAGAGTGGCCAGAAACCAGCAGCTACAACAGGAAGGCTATAGTGAGCAAGGCTACCTCACCAGAGAGCAGAACAGGAGAATGGCTGCAAGCAACATTTCTAACACCAATCATCGTAAACAAGTCCAAGGAGGCATTGATATATATCATCTTTTAAAGGCAAGGAAATCTAAAGAACAAGAAGGATTCATTAACTTGGAAATGTTGCCTCCTGAGCTAAGTTTTACCATCTTGTCCTATCTGAATGCAACTGACCTCTGCTTGGCTTCATGTGTTTGGCAGGACCTTGCTAATGATGAACTTCTCTGGCAAGGGTAAGTTAAACCCACCAATATTTGATTCAGATCTCTCTAAACGTAATCAGGCTTAATGTTCTTGTAAAAAAAAAATATATATATATATATAAATTTTTCACTTTGGCTTGTACTTTGAATTGCACTTTATTAAACCTGAAAAAAATAAAGTTATCATTAACAGTCAAATTTGATATTGAGAAAAGAAAGATAGTAGAAAGGAAAATGGATCAATGACTTTACAGTGAAAAGAGAGGTTGTAAATTTCAGTTTGTTATAAATCAGAAATTTCCAGCTTATTCTAAAAGTACAACAAAGTTCTGAACTGAGAATTTATAATTCAGAACCTGGAGTCTTCACATCCTCTCTGTCGTTTGTGCTTCCCACAGGTATCCCATCTGAAAAACAGGCATACCTAAACATCAATAAATAATCCTCAGATGTTAATGGTTTCCAAGGGAGTACATGTGTATGTTTTTTTTAATATTTATTTTTTAGATGTAGATGGAAATGACACCATGCCTTTATTTTTATGTGGTGCTGAGGAACGAACCCGGGTCCCGCCCGTGCTAGGCGAGCACTCTACCGCTGAGCCACAATCCTAACCCACATGTGTATATTTTTAGTTATACATTTTTTATCAAAGGTGCTTATTAGCATAAACTTTAGCTGGTGAAAATTTCATCTACTTTTTATTTTTTATAACCATTTCATCAATACAATAGGAAAAAAATTAGAAAGCAAGGGGATAAACAGTCTATTTGCTTAAAATGGATAATAGAAATTTTAGTGACTATTATACCAGTTTAAATTAAATTACAAATCTAGGAACATTTGGAAGTATAGAGTCTGTAATTGAATCTAAGTTACTTCTTAAATAGCACTACATACTTAAAAAAAAATCATAGGTCCTTGTGGTTTGTTTCTTTTGGGTCCTGAAAATGTTACCAAACATAGGAGAATTTTGGGATCTCAGACTTTCTAGCATTCTTTACCAAAGTTTATTTAAGTTGCAGTGTTTTAAAAATGGAATTTCATAATAACAAAGAGCATATCTAGAAATAAAAATATTTTTAAAACTAAATAATTTCTTTTTTTTAAATAAATATATTGATATTTTTATTATTGTTGTTTTATCTCTAGATTAATTGTCTTTAAATGGTAAAGAAATTTGTTTGTGCTATTAAAAATGTGAAATAAACATGTTGAATCTCAAGAACATAAGTATAGAACAGTTTTTTTTAAAAAAAATGGTAACAGTATTGTGAATACAATACAAACTGTCAGCCATAGTTCAACTGTCATTTCCACCAACATTGAAGAGAATATCCAGGAAGCACTTTGAAAAGAGCTTTCAAAGCCATCTGAAATCTTATTAATCATTATTAACGTATTAATTCCCTCAATTAGATTCCCAGTTGGGAATCTAATTGAGGGAATTAATACGTTAATCTAAATTGTCAAACTTTAGTGAAAAGGTATTTCCAGTAGTGAAATTTCTAATGTTAGCCTTCCTAATGTTACATAATTATAGTATAAAATAATACAGGTCATTTCTCAGCTTATGAATAGATAAAATCTTTAGTTTGGTGTTGTTATGCTTTCAGTGCCTTGTCATAGTGAAGGTATTATATGAGAGGAAATTCTGTTAAAAGTGTTTGATATAAGTCATAAGTTTTAATCACCTATGAACTTATGAGGGAATTAAATACTTTAAAATTAGCTCATTCTTTGTAATATTTTTCTACATTTTAACATTCCTCTCAAGCTTAATTTGTTTTCCTACATTTGAACTTGAAAAAAGCTCATTTCTAAGCTTATCTGAACTCAAGCAGAATTTTTCATTTGAAGTTTAAATCTGGATGGTGTATCTCCAAAAGAAATGCTTTATTGTTTGCCATATAGTTATGCCTATATCTATGACATTTGATTTTTCTTATTAATAAGTTGTTTCTATTTGAAATTAAAGGTTGGCTGGGTTTTTAACTTTGAATATGTTGAATATTTGTTGATGTTGGGAGATTATTGCTTTCACATAGCTTAGTTATAAAACTCAGAAGCTGATTTCTAAACAATTAAAATCAGTGATTTCATTTGGTTAGTAAAAGTAATGCCAGGATATAAATTAACTATTAAGAGGATAGTGTCAAATCAAGTATTTTACCCATTTATCCTCGAAATTTCTGATGTTATGGACTAAAACAATAAGTTTTTTCACATTTTTCTCTGCTGTGTGTGTGTGTGTGTGTGTGTGTGAGAGAGAGAGAGAGAGAGAGAGAGAGAGAGAGAGAGAGAGAAAGGGGGAGAGAGAGAGAGAGAGAGAGGGAGAGAGAAAGGGAGAGGGAAGGAAAAGAAGGAAATTTGAGGCAGAAATCAATAATGAATATTAGAGGGTGAAACTGTTTTGTCTCAACAAGTTGCAGATATTTTGAACATACACATAAAAATTTACATTTTTGAGGCAAAGACTCCAGAATTTCCATGCATTCATAAGAAGACAAAAATTGAGCTTTCAGATAACAACCTATAGTTATTACCTCTGTACAGAGTCGGAAACCACTATACTGGTCTGCAGAAAATAGTGTATTTTTAGATGCAAACAGTATTTTAGATTCTATAGACTTTTAAAATAATCATTTATCATTGTAATAGTAAAGAATCAGTGTGTTTGAAAAACTGTATTAACAGTCGTGCTTAACATTACATTTTTGATGTATTAAAGTTGTAACATTACAATTGCTATGTTTAGTTTGTCTGTTAATATATGCATTTTTGAAAAAGCAAAAGATTATTTCCCTACCCAACAATTTTCCCACCCGACCCCAAACCCCATTTATTTTTATTTCACAGTAGGGCATAGGTTACCTAATATATTCCATTTAGAATCTTGATTAAGATTTCAAGCTGTGGAGTAAGACTCATTGTGTTCAAATCCTGCCTGTATACTTTATTAGCTGTGTGACTTTGGACAACTTTTTTGTCTTTTTGTTTTTTATCTATTGCACCAACATCAGGATTGTTGAGAGAGTTGAGTAAATTAGTACAATTGAAATAGTACAACTTAAAATAGTGCCTAGCATCTAGTAAGCACTTTCAGTTATTATTACTATTATTGATACTTATTTTAAACTTCAGGTAGTATTTATGAACATTATTAATCTTTGTAACTTAAATTTTTAGGTTCTATGAAAATTGCCAAATTTAAGGCACTTATCATGTTTGATAAATAAAAAATCAAATATAAAATTAAAAATTTTAAACTTTAGAGCTACAAGATCTAATTTTATATTATTTAATATTTCTCTTTTATCATGTTCATGCATATTTAGGAAATTAAATGCAATAACTTTTTGTCTCATTTTCTTTTATTTTTCAGGTTGTGCAAATCCACTTGGGGTCACTGTTCCATTTACAATAAGAATCCACCTCTAGGATTTTCTTTTAGAAAACTGTATATGCAGCTGGATGAAGGTAGCCTTACCTTTAATGCCAACCCCGATGAGGTAAGTGAAAAATGTGAATATTTGAGTCATGTGAACTTTATTGCTATCTTGCTGCAGCTTTCTAACATAACAAATTTGCAGGTAAAACAAGTAATTGAACATACCTTTTCAATCACTAAGAAGCCTTGTATTTTAATTATTGCTATGTGACATAGTCATTTTCCTTTACTATATCTTGTTCTACTCTTTCTACTTGCTCACTTTGTATGACAGAATCCATGACATTTGCAGTCCTCTTCTGATCTTTTAGAGATACTTATTACTGGAGAATATGACATTTTGATAATTAGAACATGGAATAGGTTCATCAAATGTTGTCTATGCATTTTCTGTTTATTGCTTGTTTACTAGTGATACACTTTTATCATAATCACAGATAACATCATTCTAGTTTCCAACATCAAAATATTGTCTTTAATTGATGCCTATAAGTCTTTGTTGACATAAAAAGTACTTAGAGATTGTTATAAAATTGAAAAATTTTATATTGATCATTTAATTATTTCTTAAAATGTAATAATGATCAAAATGTGAAGCCAGTTCTTCTACTGTTTTTTTCCTATTCTCATTTTAATTTATTCTGAAAAAGTTCTAATTTTCAGAATTGTTTAAATACCTACTACACTAATTCTTTGAAATCTAAGTAGAAATTATTCAATGCTCAAAATTAATACTTCCAGGTGTATTATTTTCTATGGAAAAATATTAACTAGACAAATCTTTTAAATTAAAAAAAAAAAACTTTTTTATTTGTTTATAGAAGTCTTAAGGACTATTTAGGGATGAGAATGTAGCATAGTGATGGGGTACTTACTTAACGCATATCAGGCCCTGAGTTTAGTTTCCACTACCCCAAGGAAAAAACAAAGGACTCATTAAATCATGCAGCTAAACATGTTCTAAAATTAGGGAATTGATTTTTGTTATAATTAGGGAAATATTTCTCCCATGTAAATATTTTTATCTTAAACAGAAATACTGATTTTATAAATGTACATATAATAATACTAGTGACAGCATATTTTTAAATTGATTTTCACTTATTACATATAGTTTCTTTTTTTGTTAAATTTTTCTTGTACACATGAAAAATCAAATAAAGTTTCATTGCTAACAAATTTACAAATTTTAAAACCTGGTGTAATATTGAAATTCAGATATTTGTTCTCTTTCCTCTCTCTACTATTCTAAGAGGTGAGAGAAAATTGATACTCTTAATGAAAATAGAATGATTCATTGGAAGTTAAAGTTTAAATTATATATTTAGAATGAATATAATATTGTTTTTTAGAACCTAATGACCATTCTTTAGAAAGGCAAATGAATGGATAAATTATTTATCATAAGTTGTTTTAATATTTATTATTTTATTGTTAATTTTTCTGATACCCTTTATTATTGAAAAAAAAAAAAACACTTGTTTTTACTTTGTTTTGGTCAAATCTGTTCTTTTCCTTGTAAACATATGGGAACAATGAGCTAGTCATCTTCTTTATCTTACACTGTGGCTTATCTTCTCCATTCAAGAAACTCTGCTATAGATAGATAATCAGAGAATGGCATGGTGTCAGAGACTTTATTGTTCTCAACTTGTTATTTAAATTAGACATTACTCATTGCTAATTAAAATAGTTCTCACGATGAATTTTATGACAAGATATATGTTTTGCATCAGTCTATTGAGGTAATTGAAGAACTGAGGCAGAATAGTACAGTGTTTAACTCTAGAATATATAGGGATCAGAAGAGGCAGCTCTTGTAAGCCCCAGTCTTTATTTTGCCTAGTTTCTCAAGCCATACTGGATCTCATCACAAATTATATTGATGTTGAGTAAAACTCATATTTGATTGATATGACTTGAAAATGTTGCATTCTAAGGAAAATGTAACTTGGTAAGTACCAAGTTGTAGATTTATAAAGTTGGGAAAAGTTGGATGTAACTGCAGATATTGATTATGGTAAGTAGTCTTTCCTTGCTAAGAGTATCTGTTTTTAAAACAAATCCTAAAGCCATCTTTTTATTCAAATATTAAATATACATATTTATATATACTTATACATATATATCCTCATACACTAAAATATTGAATAGTTTTAAGTATTCACATTGAAAAAGCTAGATGTAAAAATATGATTCCATTTTTGCAGCTACGTATATCAGCATATAGCATTCTTGTTATTACCTCCTCTAGAGTATTTGGAGGGGAGGCAGAGACAAGAGGTAAAATTCAAATTCTTTTTTTTTAATCTGACAGTTTTAAATTTTTTAAATCAAAATGTTTGCTAAGAGAGTGGATTGAAGTTATTAATTTAATTATAATTTTTTTGATCATTAGATTTTACTTATCCATCCTACCTTCCATTGCTATTGAGAGTTGGCTGTATTTTCTTTTTCTTTACTTCTTGGCCTGATTTAAAGATATCCTTGAGCATTCCAGAAGTACTGAATTTACCATTTTGAAAGGGCCATATGGTGCTGTCCATAAGTGTAGACTTGAACCACTCAAAGTATGTCGTGGTTCCAGAATTCTGATGTTGTGCTTTATAAATATCAGTAATTAAGCAGGTGTTGTCTGATAGCAAAATAGAATTCTGTCTTTACCAGAATGCACTTAGGATACAAATAGGCAAAACAAGATATTGAAATATATTTAATATGTTCTGAGGAATGAAGGGAAGTGTTTTAATGACTATATTGTATATGTTTGTTACTAATATAAATATATTATAGCCATTTGATTAATTGTTTCAGGTCTTCAAATTGAAAAGTGAAAGGGTTATCCAAAAAGATGTTCTTATGTTGAACTCATCTGTATGAGTCATATGTTAGCCAGGTCATTAGAATGATGTTTGTCAAGGTTTTTGAGTGCTAGAAATCAAGAGTACTTATTGGAGATTGATTTTTCCCCCCACTCACTGGAGCACTGTCATCAGAAATATCATTTTTAGTTCATTTAACTCTGAGCAGTAAATTACTTGGATGATATGTTTAAGTGTAAGTGGTGTTTATTGCAGTTATCTGAGATAAGATGTATATAATTGTTCAGTATTATAAAAAGTCTACTTTTCCATAATTTCTAGTTTTGTACTTAACATTTTAATAGCAAGCATCATTAAAATATTATAAAAATAAGAATACTTACAGCCACAGGGAACAAGAATCTCCAAAGGACACCGTTCATGTCACGGATATGGGTAACCAAACTCCACAGCAACTGCTGGCAGTGGCTCATGGGGTGGGGGAGAACATCTGCACAATTTGTGGTACGATTATCTAGCACGCTGTTGTTATATGCATGACATTGTGATCTCAGCTGTATGTAATGTCTTGATCTTATGCATGAGCTTGTGTACTTAGTGGCAGATGACCACATTCTAGTAAAGGAATGTGCTGAGACCCGTTTCCATTATGTTGTATTTCCCTTGCATGTACAAGTTATGTGTGTTGATTTTATTCTACTAGCAGTATTATAATAAAGTAATTTTACTTACCAACCAGTAACATATATTTCTTGTGCTGTATTTTATGTTAAAACATTTTCTTGACATATTTTAAATTTAGAGTCTACAAAACTGGCAATGAATATGGTTTAATTTTATTATAGGATTTTTTATTTTAACATTTTTTTTTAATATCCTCATGGGGTCAGGTTAACAAAAAGGCCTTTTTCCCCTGTACTCGTACAGAAAGACCTACATGCATACAATTTTTTTGCAGTTTACTAGGTTGATCATAGATAATATCTATTATAAAAGTATTTTAAGTTTGACCTATATACATATTTTAGATAGAAATCAACATGCAACTTATTTTTAAGATAGCATTTTGTTGTTGTTGTTGTTGAACCAGTGTAAGTATAAACAGGAAATTTGTAGGAGTTCTCCATTATAGAAAGGATCTTCGTACTGATAATGAATCTTCCTTTTTGCTCCAATATACAGCAACAAAATTGTCATTACTTTACTTCATAGCACGGTAACAGTGGTGAGAAGTAACTTTGATTTTTATTCCTATGGATAGAAAACCCTTATTGATATTATCAGAATATACAGATAAGCATTTCTCAAATGTATTCTTCAGGAATACCTTGCTTAAAGAAGTTCCCAAATCTAATAAAATTGAATATGATATGTTATGATTAATTGGCTTTTATTTACAGCATACCTTTTTAGAGCCTTTAATACATTGATGCACTTCATGACTCTTTAAAAGAGAAATGTCATGTGTAGAATTTTCCAAGTTTATTTGACTATGCATATAGATAGATAGGTTTGTAAAATAGCATTCCAGGAAACACATATTGAGATACACTAGTATAGATCATCTGTAATCTTACTGTTTATAAATGTTAGAATGGTTGAAATACACTATTGTTAATTTATAGCTGTCTGATACAACCTCTTAATGAAAGTCTGTGGATCCATAATTGCTTGGTTTTTTTTTTTTTTTGGTTATACCTGTAATCTTCTTTCTTATGAAAGTCTGTAGATCTATAACTATTTGCTTTCTTTTCCATAGTCTGTTAGTACTTATTACCAAGTTAAAAAAAAAAAAAAAACCCTGAGAGTTGTGTTTGAGTCCTGACAGACTGAGGTATTTTTTTCATCTTTTCAATTTCTTAAGGAAAATGTTAATTTGGAAAATAAGTGTATGACAATAAACTTGAAAGCAATATCAAATTTAAGCAACAATGTGTAGACCTTAACATAAATGTCCATGTAGAATAATTTGGAATTCATAAATCATTCATTATTAAATCCTCAATATCTCATTCTCTTTCTCTATTAAATCTAAGTGGCTCCTGTTTCCCAAGGGTATTGACAATGAAGACTAACAGGACACTAAGATGCTTTTTATGTTGGAAAATGTACTTGCCTTTTGAGATTTTATTCTTAGTTTTATATATCTAGAAATTTTACTTTATCATTATACCAAAAGTAGATTAGTGTGTCAGGAATAAACTCATAAGTAGTAGAATGTGAGCTAGATTGACAGTGA